ATAAAGGCTCCGGCGGAGCGGGTAGAGGTGACAGCACAACTTTTCCTGATGCGCAGCACATGCCGGCTGCTTCATTCCGAAATTTCAATGCCTGACAATATTGACATACTTTATCCATTCCACCGATAGCAATTTTTGAATGCGCTGAGTAGTTAATATCTGGTGCATATTCAAAGGCAAGCCGAACGAATGATGCACGTGTTAATGAGCGGCTGATCCGTTGCCTTTGTCGATCTCTTTCTCGTACTGTAGCTATGTTTCGTTCTCGTGCCGCTCTTGTTCTCGTAATATTCTGTTGCAGACGTTCGTCACGCTGTTCTTGAGATTCTCGTGCACGACTTTCTGCAGTCCTGATTCTTTGAGCTGCATTTCTTGTTTCGATTTGTTCTGGTAATTGCTGAGCTCTTTCAACACGTTTGCGTCGTGCCCCTTTGCTGCTCGCGTTGTTGAGGTTAGATTTTTTCGGTGGCATTTGACTGAAAATAATAATTAATATTTTTTTACAAATACCATCTGTGTGAAAAAGCATAGTGGACTCCGTGACTGATGTTCTCTTATTGTTCCTCTTAGATTGTTTACTATAATGTAATATAACAATAACTTTATCCACAGCAACGCGTGGCCGGGTCAGCTAGTATTAAATATATAAAATAATAATATTAAAAAAAATAAAAATATAAAAAAAATAAAAAATAAAAATAATAATAATAATAAAAATAATAAATTTTAAATTTATTAAAATATTTAATGTATTAAAAAATTTGAAATAAAAACTATCCTATCTTTTAAGTTGGACCAAATTACACGCGGAGTAAAAAATTTCATCAAAATCGGTCAAGTGGTTTAGGAGTCCATTGAGGACAAACATTGTGACACGAGATTTATATATATTAAGATAATTTAATTACACAGTTTAGTGTATTATGATCGCAACCATCAAATTGCTTCTAAAATCTTTTATGGATTCTATTATATTTATTGTTCTAACGAAATACCCTAAACACCTTTCAGTGTGTCTTTCGTTTTACCGTATCTGAACTCAATGTCCAATCGGTGACAAACTACGATTCTTTTGTGGTTTATGCTTAATAATTGACCTATAAACTAGGTATTCATAATACGACTAGAGGTCGTGTTAAGTATTGAATATTAATATTGTAAACTCTCCTGATTGTTTGGTAAACTCTCCCGAGTCAATACGTATTAGGTTTACCAGAAGGAAAAGTGTAAACTCTCCTGAATTGTTATAAACTTATAAATTTTATTGCTACACTATGAATTGGCTTCACTGCTGATATTGTGATTATCATTTTAAATATTTATTATCAATTGTATTACCGTTAACCTGTTACCTGTATTTGTAATTTAAATATTTAAATATTTTGTTACTGTCAACCTATTTTTAATTTCAATATGTAAAACGATATTGCCTATAATAATGGCTCAACCAAATTTTTCTACCTTACCAACTGCATAATACGAATAATGTCCCATGCTCTCCTAGCTTAGTAAATTGTAGTAGTAATGAAGTATTGCAGACCCGGGAGAGTTTACGTCTCATCAGGTATAGTACTGCATCGCCAGGAAATTCTTGGAAATCACCCTGGATATAATTATTTAAAACGAATATTAAACAACATATTTCCCTAGGAACTTTGAAACAAGCCTTCTACTTATGTTACCTAGGTAGTTACTCGTTCAAGAATTAAAATTCAAACTTTAAATTGCTTTTGAAACTTTTAACTATTCAAAAAATGAAAAAAAAATTTGATATGTATATTTATTATATTATTAAATTTATGTATAACAAAAATTAATGTATATTATAAAACCGTGGACATTTTATGTTCTTGAATAAAACTGGAAAAGAGACTTTCTTCTTCATTGTAACTACAATCTGCAACACACATTGAACAATTTAATTTATAATTTAGGATATTATAACAATTTTTTCAAGTACTTGGGTATTCTCGACACATTTATCTGGCGTTGTTTCTCGTTGTACAATTTATCAAATTTCGTTTGAAGGTATAACAAATTCCGTTCTCCAGTCATTAATCTGGATTGTAATAATTTATTTTCGTCCTTCAACTTCGAAAGACATTTGTTTTCAAATCTAAAAATAGATATGCATTCGGTTGTTACTTAATTAGTGTTAAAAGATGATATTATTTCATCTTCCTTATAAAAACAATATTAAACATAAATGATACTAATTACGTTAATTTTTTATTTTCAACTGCCAATTTTCCAATTTCAATTTTTGCTTCGTTAATATTTTTCGATTGAATTTTCTTATCAAATTCACTTGACGTCTGAAATCGTGCAACTGCGGTTGTCAATTCATTATTTTTTTGTTTAGTATTATTCAACTCTTCTTGCATTTTATGGATTTTTTTCTCAAACTAAAGTATAACATACTCCAATAAACACTTTATTTAAGTAATATTACATACAAAATGTATGAGTAAATAGTTATTTTCAACAAGAAAACATTGTATTAATGTAATGTATAATACTAAAATGTATTAAATACGGAGATCGTCAGAAAGTCAATCACTCCAGGTTATTTTGAGAAAATTGTTTTACCTCTTCAATAGTAGCTTTCATTTGGTTGGCTTCTAATTGTTGGCGTTTTTGGCATTTGATATTAAATTCTAATTGCGTTTTCATAGATTCCTCTAATTTCTCAGCCTGTTCAGTCTTATTTCGTAATTCATCATTTTTTTGTTCCACGCCTTCAAAAACTTTATTTGCTCTCCAGATGTCTTTAAAAAAATAAAAAAAACAATGATTGACATCACTTATATTATATTCAACAAATTTTTATGTGATAAGGTAATAAGCACTCTTTTTCATGGACTCCATTCTCTTAAAATCATTTCTTACTCGTCTGCAGAGCAACGTTGACTGTCTATTTAGTAATTTACATTTATGATCATAATCTTCCTTTTGAATCTATTTAAACAATATACTACTATACTATTATTCAATTTAACTGACATCATGATATTATTGTTTCATACTGTTACCTGTAGTTTTTTAATCTTTGAATCTTTACTCAAGACTTCTAATTTATCATAGATTATATTATATTTTTGTTTTTCGAGCAAGGCTCTTGTAGCTTTTTCTCTATCTACTGCTATTTTTACATCATACAAACTTTTAATCACTACGCCTCGATATTGAAGCTGTTTTTTCTCTTGGCTGTCATATTTTAAATGTAATCTATTGAACACAACAAAAAGCATGTATATTTTAATTGCATTTCTTCAAGTATAATACAAGGTTAAGTATACCTTTTGATCACTTGTTCCAGAGCAAATATTTTATTTTCGTAATGTATTTCTTTTATTGAACCTGAAATAAATAATTAGTCCAACATTTAAAACGTGACAACTGAAAACAATCATAGAATATGTATGTAAGTGCCTACCATTAAAATCATTCAAAATACTTAATATCCATGCGGTCAGGTGTATACACAATTTACTCTCATATTCAATGTGCTTAACTAGATGTAGGATATTTTTAGCATTGAATAAAATTCTTAGTTTATTTTAAACTATAAGAATATTAATTTGATCACCAACTCTACAACCCCAGCATTCAGTTTATAAATTGATATTAATTGTATTTCAATATAAAATTTAAATTAGCATTTAAAGTATAAATTGTACTTTTTTTCTTGACTCCATAATACGATCACGAGGTTATTATTGATTAACTACTATATATTGTAAATGGCTAAATACAAATTCAGTTTATAATTATTATCGATAATATATAGATGGTAAATTATAGTTATGGAATTTACCGCATTTTATTGCCGGTTCCTTGTCTTCAATTTTACCATATTTTGACTGATACTGTAAAATACAATTTGCATTACTATACTTAAATATCAACTATTACTCTGAGGGGAGGTCAAAAGACATTTTTTAAATTTTATTTAAATAAAATGGACCTACGCGCATTTTATTAAACAATATACAAAATATATTTACTTTATGCTACGAACAATATACTTTTAAATTGAATCTGTGAACTTAATAAAATAAAAATATTTATAAATAACGATATTATAACAAAATTATACGGATTTATACTTTTGAATTAAATTAATTACGAACAATGTTATTTTTTAAGATTCTACTATCAAATAACTCGCTTAGATATAATATCTTACGAAAGGACAGTCGAGGTTACTGAATTTCTTTGACAGATCAAGATTGAGTTTCATGCATTCTTCTAATTTGCGCTTTATTATCGTTATGTCTTCTCCTGTGTATATAAAACTTGTTTTTTGTTTCTCCAATTGATGCTAGAATACATATTATTATATATTTCATGCAATGTATATACATTCTAAAATAAAAATTATTTTTTTAATTACAGCGATTTCGATTAATTTTTTATTTTCCAATTGCTCTGTTAATATTATTCGTTTAAACGTGTTCATTTGTTTGTATAATCCACGTTCATTTTCTTTAAATTCATCGACCGTTATTAATAATTCATTTGCTTCGTCCTAAATAAAATTTTCACCAAGTTAATTATTTTCTGATTATGTTTAATAATTAAAATGTTAAACGAAATAATCACCAATTTTTTTTGTAAGCTATTGTTTTGTTTAAGCAGACTCGAATATCGAAGTATTGACTCTGAACATTCCTTATTCATAGTTTTTATTTTTTTTTCCAGAACTGTTACACGTTTTTCAGAATCTGTTAATTTGTTCTGTAAAAATATTGGTTTGTGAAATATATTATACATAATTTATATCAAACATAATACACAATTCCTTAGATATTCGAAAATTGGGATACATAGTTATGTAACTTATCAATATATTCTCAACCTTAGTATCAAGAATTTTATTGGCCCTTGCCAATCCTGTAATTTGCATATCTTTGCAACGTAATTCGTCTGCATGGTTACTAATCTGTGTTTTCAGTACTTTATTCTCAAGCTGAAATCATAAATGCGTAATAATTGTATTACTTTTTAAAATATCGAAATCACTTCAAGTTCTTCAATCTTGGTTTTTGTTTTGTCGTTTTCAGCTTTCGCTCGAAGTTTATCCTTGATCTCTTGTTCTTTTTCTAGTTTACACTTCGCGTTAATTTTTTCAAGCTTCCTGTTCGTAATCTAAATATTTATTTTATATTAAATTCACTTATCTTGGACATAATTTGTATGTGAATCGTGTTATATTATTACCATTAAAGCTTTATTACTCTCCGTAACTTCTTTATATTTATTTTCCAATTCTTCACGTTTTTCTTTCGAATTTCCGTTGGCCATTAACAAATTTTTTTTATCAGTGGTAAGCTTGTTAATTTCCTTATTTAATTCCACGACTTTTGCTTGAACATTTGGTAGTTTGGTAGTATTTTCCTAAAAAATACAATACAATGATATATTAAATATTATATAAACACAATTGGTCCATATTTGTACGCGGTCTAGCTAACTAAATAAATATAAGGGTACACGCTTGAATGCAATTGAAATTATACTCACAGACAAATTATAGAAATACATATTATATCAAACACATAAGATGTGTTAACAGTAAATATCGGTATGTGTAGGCTACTCTCTGAATTAAAATTTAAATGAATACCTACTTTATATAAATGATGTAGGTCTGTTTTTTCTTTTTCTTTTGTTTTTATATCTGTTCTTAATAGTGTATTTTCTTCTTCCAGTTCAGAGCACCGATATTTTATCTCGGAATACTCCTTTTTTAACTGATCTAATTCCTGTTCTAGTATCACCGGGTCGTAATATACTTCTGGTCTGAAATAGAATTTAAAATGTTAAACCTTCGTTAATCGTTATCCCCAAAAAATGTTATAAAAGTTAATGAATAAAATAATAAACAGTGTGTATGCGTTTAAACAGATTGAAGTTTTAAACGTACTCGGACACAATAAAGTATATATTGATTACAATACTTACGATTCTTCCCAAACAGGTATGAATTCTGCAGGTTCAAAATCCATTGTTATGTATTTTTTTAATATGTAAATAGCTAGTAATCAGCTAATACGAATTCTTATAACTGTCAAATTAAATTAACTCGCTAGGTACGAGCTAGGCGCATACAGAGTATGGTATATAGAGTGATATAGTAAATCGCAATTATAAACCACAAGTTATGTTTCAAACATAAACCGTATCCATGGATATCGTATTAATTTAAAAAATAATATGAATTCGAATAGATGAAATGTATTTTTATACACAAATAATACTTTTAATAAAACATAATGTTTAAGCATTTATAACTAAATTAAAGCGTTAAAATATTATTTAAGAGACAATTTTAACATATAGTTCGACCTTATGATTATCACCAAAGTTAATTTACAACAACAAACATTTTAACTTTTTTTTTTATTATTTGTTCAATTTTTACTTTTTCGTTTTAGTAACTTTAATCTATATTATCATCTGAATCTTTTAAACCTAACTTAACTGTTTTTTCTTCAGCTTCGTAGCATAATATCTAAGTATCTTTTTATAAAATAATATTTTTTCCATAATATTATAAAAAATTATATGTTACTAGGCTAAAGAAGAACTAGTATAACTGTTGTTTGAGCCCAAAAGGCACGTACTATTATAAATTATAATACGTACAATTTAATAATATATATACATGTATACGTTGATAATGTATAATGGAATAGCTGGTCACACACACACACGCACACATTATTTGTTTATTTATTTTTGTTTAATTATTATTGTCGTGTGAGTTATATAACATATAATATTATGCAATTACGCCTTATCGTCCGACGTAGGCCGGCTGGAACGCAAAGGTTTAGCACGGCCGCCGTAAGTCCGATCAGTCGACATAAGATACCAGTACCGTACGTTATAAGGGCACCGGCGTGCGTCGAATGAGTTGAAAATCTCACACGTTTTTATATATTTAGTGTAGGGCGCGAATCGCCTTTTTGTTATATTCATTGGTGCTGGGCGCGAATCGCCCTTTGTTTTTATATTTGTGTGCGCTAATCGCCACATTTGTAATATTATTATTTATTATATTTTATTGGCGCTAATCGCCACATTTTTATTATTATATTTTATTGGCGCTAATCGCCACATTTTTATTATTATATTTTATTGGCGCTAATCGCCGTATTTGTAATATTTTATTGGCGCTAATCGCCACATTTGTATTATTATATTTTATTGTGTGTGAAATTATTATATAGCTGTATAGGTAGCAGCTGGCCAGCCGAG